ATCCATCCATCCATCCATCCATCCATCCATTTCCTACCTTTATTATTTTTATAAATAACTCACAAGGTAGTGAACCTACACAATGCTCCTTCCTCCTCCTATGTTCCCCACAACAACCACCCTGTGAGGTGGATTGGGCTAAAAGAGCTCAAAGCCACATAACCAGCTTTCTAGCTTGGTGCCTTAACCGCTAGACCAAGTTGTCTGTTTTCCTGCAGTGTTACCTCAGGAAAGACTGAGATAGTTTGGAAAGCAGGCTAACGTGGAGCAACAGGCTTGCTTCATGCTTACAAGGGAAGGGTCAAACCAACCGTGAGGGAGTTTTTGGATGAACCTTCATGGAAGTGAAAGATCCTTCTAAAGACATGCCTGGTCTTAGTTCCAAGCACTCATTTTCTCTCACTGCTGCCAGGAGCTGAGTGAGCAAGCTGGCAGCAGGAATAGGAAAGATTGTAAGAACATTGAAGAGGGCAATTTTTGGCATGTCTACCTCCTACAGATATCCAGAGGCTTTCTACCGCAGTTTCATGGCATGTTTTGCCATCTAGAGCCAAGAACACACTGGAATGCACGTTGAGTGCAAGAAAGTTTGTAACACGGATCTATAAAAATGACATCACCTATCCTCCTATACCCACATTATTGATCGTAGAAATGTCACCTGCAGAGCACCACCTGCTCTTGCTGAAATGGGGATGGGCACATCCAACACAAAGTTGTAGAATGACAATGCATGGCATTCATTTTTGAATGCCAGTCCATCAGAGCGTAAGAAATGCTTTGTGCGACTAGACCTACAGTCCATTTGGTCCAGTATTCTGTGTGACCTAATGGTCAACTTGACATAAGTTGGAAGTTTAACTTTGGTCATAGGTTTTTCATGTTTATAGTTTTATTAGGTTGCATTTTAAAATATAGGTTGAAGTTTGCCTTCCTAACGGTATACCCTGCTGGGAACTCAGATCTAACTTGAGAAATCATGCACCTAATGTAAAAAATAAAAAAGGGGTTGGGGTTAGGGTTTTTAGAAGTTTTCAAGCTACTAAATGCAGCATTAAAAAAGAAAAGTTTCTTAGGAGATATCCTGAGTTTACAACTGAGCCGTGGTGGTGCAGTGGTTAGAATGCAGTATTGCAGACTAATTATGCCGACTGCCAGCAGTTCGAATTTCATCGGCTCAAGGTTGACTCAGCCTTCCCTCCTTCTGAGGTGGGTAAAATGAGAACCCAGATTGTTGGGGGCCATAGGCTGAGTCTGTAAACCGCTTAGAGAGGGGCTGTAAAGCACTATCAAGCGGCATATAAGTCTAGGTGCTATTGCTATTGCGATTACAACAGAGCAATTGTAAAGCAGCCCAAGGAGTGTTTAAATTTTGGTCATGAATGAACAACTGTATCAAATAGAAACACCTTCTTACATTCCTAAATGTGTTCCAAAGAAGTCAGCAGAAATGAAATGTAGGCATTTCTGTTAATATTCTCCACCCAAGTTTCTTTACAGTTCTCACATTTCATGATTTTTTTTCTTCCTCCCAAAGCTTAATCAACGACCTACAGTCGATGAATTAAGAGACAGAAAAATCCTCATCCGATTCAGCGATTATGTGGAGGTGGCAAAAGCGCAGGATTACGACCGACGAGCAGACAAGCCATGGACCAGGCTTTCAGCGGCAGACAAGGTACTAAAGGCGTTTTTTTTGTTTTTATGGGCATATGCCTGCCAAAGGTGTAATGTGCCACCCTTCCCTTGACGCCAGATTATACAGATAGTTCTGGACTTACGACTGTGATGGAACCTGCCCATGACAGTCATAAGTCATCATAGTTGCAAAGCAAGTCATCACCCAATCTTAGGACCTCTTTTGTGTCAGTCATTAAACCAATCACCATACTCATTAAATGAACACCGCAGACATTAAGTGAACCCATTGTTTGCTATGGGGTATTTTTGCCGAAAACTGGAAGTAAAGGCCATTTTTTCAGCAAAAACGTAAATCATGGTTGTGTGATCATGGGATGCTGCAAACAGCTGTACATGTGGACCAATTGCCAAGCACCCAAAATGCAGCTATGGGATGAGGGTGGAGCAGCTGTCATAACTTCAGAACCAGGTCATCAGTACCTTTAGGGTTGGGCCATGGTAACCTCAAACGGTCCCTAAGTGAGTGGCTGGAAGTCCCCTGTACATTAAACCAAAGCCACACAAACATTGAGTTGTAAGAAGCTATTTAGGGCCTTGGGTCCAACTTCCTAGCTCAGAACAGACATCCAAATGAAAACATCCCCAATGGAGAGTGTGTATAGCCTCTCCTTGAATACATCCAATCTGGGTTGCTGGTCCTACCGTCGGACTGGTATTAACAGATTAACAGAATGACAAAGTTGAAAGGGACCTTGGAGGTCTTCTAGTCCAGCCCCCTATGCCATTTCAGACAAATGGTTGTCTAATCTATTCTTCAAATCCTCCAGTGTTGGAACACTCACAATTTCCGAAGGCAAGTTGTTCCACTGATTAATTTTTCTCACTGTCAGGAAATTCGGTTGGTTCTTTCCTTGATTAATTTCCATCCACTGTTTCTATCCTGCTTTCAGGTGCTTTAGAGAATAGGTTGACCCTCTCTTCTTTGACAGTCTCACAGCCACAAGTGGGGCTGTCAATCCCTAATGTTTTGCTTTTGAACAATATTGTTTAGATACAATGTTTCCCAACCGTGACAATTTAAAGTTATGTAGTTCCCAGAATTCCCCAGCCAGCATACAACTATTGTAAATTCTTGCTGATTGCTTTTACCTATTCACACATGGCAATCCCTCAGTTTGATTTAAGTATGGTGGAAAAACAGAATTTATTAAGGAGCTATTTCACGGACCCCTCCACTTATGGAGTTACTGTGTTGCCACCCATTGCTTGGGATGTGGAAGAGACTTCAACAAACTGTTCAATTGGAAGAGCTTATGGTTCTTTATAGAGAGGGATATCATTTCATTTAAATTTTAAGCTGTGCCTTTTCTTACCAGTTTTAAAGAATTAATTCACCTTGTTTCTGTTTGAATTTTCCAGGCAGCCATTCGTAAAGAGCTAAATGAATACAAAAGTAATGAAATGGAGGTGCATGCATCAAGCAAGCATTTGACAAGGTCAGTTGCCCAGATAGTATGTATATGTATTCATCCATTGAATCTCTCTCTCTCTCTCTCTCTCTCTCTCTCTCTCTCTCTCTCTCCCTCTCCTATCTATCTATCTATCTATCTATCTATCTATCTATCTATCTATCTATATCTATCTATATCTATCTATCTATCATCTATCTATCTATCTATCTATCTATCTATCTATCTATCTATCTATCTATCTATCATCTCTATCTCTATCTCAAAAACCTGCAGAATGTTCTCACCCACTGCAGCACTCTTCCAGAACTTGGAACAGTTGCTAGGGTCCAATCTGGGTCAGTCAACAGGATGAGAGGTTTAGTCTTCCGAGCTTTTGAACTTGTGCTGCAATCCATCTCTATCACCTCTCACCTTCTGTTAAGAGAGAAGTTTCCTGAAGATGGATTCCAGCACAGGTATGAACACCTCGGAAGACTAAACCTCTGGCTCCAGTGATCGGTCCAATTTGGATCCTGCAACATTAAGCTGGGTCACGCATGTTAGCCTTAACTTGTGAGTTGCTGAGGCGTCCAAGGTGGTTGAAATGAAACTGACCTATCTACTTTTTATCCCAAACTCACCATCAATTTACTTGATAATTCTCTAAGCATAAGAATTTAACTTCAGGTCGGTCAAATAATGAAAAATACATTCGCTGTTATGCAAAGAACAGGAACAAAAACAAACCCTGTAAACATTCAGCACAATTTGAGTGAGCACAGACCATTTTTTTAACAAAAGATAACTTACGGTGTACCCAGAAATACTAATTCAGTAGTCTATATTGATCTGCCTATGGAGGAAATTAAAGAAAACAGTGTAGGAAATCTAGCTGCTTGCTAAGATTTCAGATCAGGCCCATAAATATGATAATATTCAGCAGTGAAAATTACAAAAGGCAGTAATTATTCTCTTGAAACATGCACATTGATCTTTTAATTGCAACCAATTTGTGAATATAATCTACTGATCAATTTCCTCACCTGAGCAAAATTGATCAGACAATGTCTATGCACTTGAAATTCTTCAGATGCTGTGTTTGCTTAGTATAGGAAGATTGACAATAATCACAATCAGAGTTGCTACCAAAGCCCAGTCTAAACTGAAAATTGAAATGAATTTAGAGATTTCAGCTCAGGTGAAACATTTTAACTTTAAGGCACTCAGATGAAATTGGTGGCATTTCTTTGGGCAGAAGCCATTTAATTCTTAAATTGTTATTAAGTATCACCAAAATAAAAATTCAGTAGAAATGTAAGAGCTCCACTTTAACTTTAAAATGTTGAAGATAAAAGTTTTGATTTGACTACCAATAGGTAGGTAGATAGATAGGTTAACTAACTTGTCCTTAGATCCTTGCTTTTTTTTTCTTACATGAAATTGATTTTTGTGATAGAACTTCTAAACAATTGCCATAACCACTTATGTCTTCTCCTTTTAACTTCTAGATTCCACAGGCCATAGAGATTTTCTTCTGCGAAGAATTTGTCTACTTTTTTTGATATCCACTACTGAACACGCATCAGGGAAAACATGAAGGCCTTTCTCTGAGGTTCAGTCTACGAGAAGCTGATGTTTCAGGTTCTGTAAAGACTGCAGATTCTCTCTCTGCAGCTCGTATTTAAAACGAACTAATCCGTCACCTTGGAGCCGCAACCCTCAAGGTGTTGGGAGAACTCACTGACAATATTGAACTCATCCAAAAGGAAATGACTGCATTCCTTTGCTACTTGTTTTAAACTGAATTGCTGCATATCTTGAGAAAGGAGATGTTGTGCATGTACAGGCTCTACCATTCCAAGGCCTCCGACATAATGGACACGGCGCACACCATCATTCAGTATTATCATGGTGACGAGACATTGGGAACTTATCACGATTAGTTTGTACAAAACACTTAAGTTCATGTTCTACAAAGTTATTTACGATATTGTTTCTTTTCTTTTT